CTTATATGTGTTTTAATATCACTTTTCAGGGATGTTCACTCATATTCAGAGGTCACCAGTTCTGAGGAAGAAAGACTTGTTTGAAGATTTAATAAAAAACCACAAGCATAAGAGTAAATCTACGTTACTTGGAAGAATCACTGGAGAGCTAGGGAAAAAGAGGAAATGACGTGTTTAATTCAAGATCTCAACATGTAGATTTTTTTTTAACTACTTCTCTTCATATTTTGCATTTTAAGTGTTGTTGATGTTAATTTACAGGTGGACAAATGCCTATAGCTAGTACTGTATTTGATTAACTTCTGGATTGTTGTTTTGTTTTTGTGTTGTTTTTTTCTTAGGTGCCTATGAATTTAGTCTCCCTAATAAACTGCACGGTTTATAAGCAGTTGCCTGCTTCAATCTGTATGTATTATCAGGCTTTTTGTAATGCATGTCACCTACTCAAACTATTTTCTTTGGAGTGCCAAAGCAGGAAAAAACTAGTCCTCCAATCGGACACTGACAAACAGAGCAGGAAGTTGCCCAAAACCTCCCCCATTAGCAATACTGTACATATAGCTGCACACACATACAAAACAACCACTGCTGAAAGACATCATACTACTAAAGAAAAGTAGTACTTTTTTTTTTCTATTAAAAATATCTCCCAAAGACTTTGAAGTTTACCAGCAAAAAGCAAAATGAAAGACTTTAATGGGTGTCACCAGCTCCTCTCTTTGCTTTCATAGGACATTCTTATGGTATTTCCTTAGATTTCTAGTTAGACAAGTACTTCATAAAATGTAACATATTCTCACAAAGTATTTAAACAAAGGAATTCTCATATATGACTTAAAATTGCTTCTTTCTTTTAGCTTGCAAGCTGTTTGTAACCAAGACAGTTTCCTCCGACTCTCATAGGCAATTTGATATTATTATGTATTGCATTATTGATTATTATATCATTGATATACTGGATGTGTACAGATACAAAATTCAGCTTTCCAGGGCAGGTCCATTTAGTTGCTCAATCAAAGCTTCTTTTCTTGAGTATATGGCAATACTTGTTTTTTTCTTCACAAAATATCCAAATCAAAACTCATTTGCAGAAGTATTTTAGGTGTTCAGCAACTTGTAGAAGTAGGTTCAAGTAGAAAAACGTGCAAATGAAATCTTGAAATGGCTACTGGACCTGAAGAAAATAAATGTTATTCATCATCCCATTTTACAAAAGCAGACAGCAAACCTCAAGAAGCCTCCCAAATTCAGTGGGATTGAATACAAGCTTAAAGTTGAGCATTCAACGAATCATGTAAATGTGCAACTGAGAAGTGATCATGACAGTAATGTGAGTACAGGAGCACACCCCCACCTGCAGCTGCTGCCTGAAAGAGTGCTCTGCTACCACGCGGGAGGGAGGCAAGGGTATTGTTACAACAGATCCGCTCACTCTCATTCTACTGTTGTTAATTATCTTAATTATATTAATGTATCTAAAAGCCCTGTTATGCACAGCTTTCTACAAACACAAGAGAGACCATCTTCATGCACAGTCCCTACAGTTACCAAGACTAGTAACAAAGTACAGTATGGGCCGGATGCCCAGCCAAGTAGGACTGGAATTGTAGTAGAACAGATTCTATCTGTTCTCATATCTTTTCAAGCTCTAGAAAACAACAACAAAAACAGAATGTAAACAGGTACTGTTAGACTCTGTGCCATAGCACCTTTTGGGAAGAGGCTAACACATCCAAATTTTATATGTTTCTTCTAAACAAGAGGATCTCTTAGAAAAGGGCAGCTTTCTTCCTTCTGTTCTTCCAGTAACAGAAATTGAGAAATACCACTGCTGGTCAAGCAGATGTTTAGCTTAAATAGCAATACTGTTCTGCTTCAGCAAGTTCTTTTAATAACAGGCTGTATCACCATTTAGCCTTTGAAGAAATGGGCAGGGAAGGATTAATAAGTGCAAGAGAAACTTAAGAAAACAGATGAATCTTAAGCGTAGGTCCCACTATAGAGAACATTTGGAAATTGCTGATGTAAAGGAGATGACCTGTATTATTAATTGTGCTGAAATCAATTAAAAGAAAAAGGGAGGAGAATTAAATTTCAGGTAAACATGTATGTGATAGAATTCCTACATGAACTCCTACCTCATTTTCTTCTCTCTGAAGGACTCACAGCTTAATTCTGTTTTATAATGATGGTCTTATGTGATGCAGATTTCAGTGACTTGGCATAAAATCACAGCTGGATGATGATGTTTGATATTGATTCATTTATTATAAACTGGGGCCTCCTAAGTTGGTTGCATTAAGAAAAAGCAAATACAGTGAGGATGAGATGTAAGGTTTGCTGTATTATCTTAAAATAACAATTTAGAGTTGTTTCCTATTCTCTCCCCTGTGAATTTCTTAGCAGATTTTGGCATGACCCAGGATTGTTTCTGTTGCTTCTGCTCCTGGCTTCCAGTTCCTCAGTCTGAGTGTGGCAGGAGAAGGGTGGAATGAACATTTATGATTGAGGTTACTTCACTGTGTGCAGGACTGAGTAACAACAAAATAAAGTCTTGAGACTTTGCCCTTTTCATCTCATAGAGACCTAGCAAGTAATTAATTGCTTACTGATGTGGAAAATATTTCCTTGAGTTTTCACTTGCTGCCATGAAGTGAAAGTTAAATGCTAAGAGGTTCAGGGATATTTCAGAGATATCCATCCATTAGCATTTGTGTTCCAGGCCTGTCCCATACTGCATCTGACCAAACAAGTATTTGTCAGCTGTCAATGTTTCCAACTGATTTTGATTCTTATCCACCTACTCTGAAGAGTATTTAAAGCCTTGTCAGAAGTTGCTGCATATCTTCTCATAATAGCCAGCTATGCTGTTTGGATTGTTGTTTGCATCTCCTGGCACAGGTATATTGGAAAAGCTACTAATCTGTTTATGTGAGAATACAGAGGTATGCACTTCCTAGTGAATTCTGTTACTTGTTTCCTGCTTTCTGGAGTCTTTCTTTGTCAGTTAGTTTATTTACCTTCCATCCTCTTCACTCTTCATTTGCTAGAGACAATCTGTTAGCTACAGTCGCATACCATTCTTTGTTGCTGTAATTCTTGGATGTTTGTGTTGTGTGTACTTAAGGCTTTTGGTGACTAAAACTAGCAGAAAAAAAAACAGGAACATTCAATACCATCACTATCAACCGCAGTATAAGGTCTTTCATGAAAGTAGCTGGGATGCTACGAACAGAAACAAGATTTTTTAGCCATTTTCTAGGCAGCTCCTGTATCTTCGTGATTATAACATATTATGAAAAAAAGACAATAAGGAAATATGTGAAAAATTAAGTGGTCTGCTGTGCAGCTTTTCTTCAGCATTACACCTTTAGCATTTTTCTATCACATTAGACTAAAGTGTTTCATTATATATTAAACTAAGTTTCAGAATATGCAATTTTCCCCCTTTTTTTTCTTTTTTCCCAAACTCAATTTGTTTTCTTAGTCATCACAAACTAATTCCTATAAAAATTAGGAGTCTTTCCTCTCTTGGTGAGCTGGTATAATTCAAGTTACTGAACTAAAATCCTTAAAAACATGCAAATTGCTCTTGAGCCATGACTGGTTTTGAGCACAGATCTTTAAAATACTCCCATGTACTATCAGAAAAAAAGTGTTTTCCTTGTAGCTGTCACCCTGAAGGGATACAGCACAATTCCTATCAAGTAATTAAAGCAAAACACATCAAAAACTAAGAGGAAAGAAATGGGCTGAAGAATCACACTTAGTAAATTTGCCATCAGTTCATAGGGTCACTTGATAGTTAACAGTTCAAAGAAGGAAAGCATCTGATAATAACATTCAGATCTTTAACATGCCCCATCTTTATCCATTATCTTACCCTTCAGAATGGCTGTTAATAAAACAATACACAGTTATGACACTCCCCATCATTACAGATTACACCAGTGTATCTCACTGAAATCACTGGTGTTGTACTGCTGTAAAAACAAGTAGCAACAAGAAACGATGAAAGAAAAGAAATGAGTACCTATTATTTTTCTCCTAAGAATGAACTAAGTTCTTTTCAAGGCTTTCATTCACTCAACACTATAAGAAATTAACCTGGACTGTATTATGAATGGGCCAAAGCACTATTTCTTTTGTATGATCTATTCCTTTCTCTTCAAATCCCAGCCTACTTGTTGCTGAGGCTTAATAAATTCCTTGTAGTTTACGACAACAGGTGCAATCTACTACCATTAGCCAATCATCTACTTCCAAACTTCCACACAATATTTGTATGTTTACTTACATAGGCAGATGTACTCCTATATGTGTAAGTGCAGGCTTTGTATGTATCTTTAATACTCTGGAAGTTTTAGATTCATACGGTGCTAGCAACCAATTAGAAATGACTTCTCACACATTTTAATGCTGTAGGTAACATTACATTCTTATTAACCATTCCATATTAGACATTGCATTCTTATTAACTGTTCTATACTAATATAAATACATATATATCAATCCATAGTGGAACAGTTTATCTAGAGCAACCAAATTCCCTTAAATGTTCTAAACTTTTTTTTCCCTTTAAATATGTATTTTTCAGTTTGGAATAATGTGACTATTGTGTCCTGAGATATCTCACAGTAAAGAATTTATTCCTTTCAGTTAGACAAAGAAAAAAAAGTCTTCATAGACAATATATCACTGAAACCACCTGCATCAAGCCATTTTTATAGGAAAAAAAATAAAGTTTCTGAAACACAATTCATTATCAGTTATATAGCAATGAAAAGAGATTACAGGACAGGACAGTTGTGAAAGCCAGTGCAGCATTAGTGATGTTATACTCTGTGCCCCTGTATCTACTGTAAGGAGCTAGAAACCATTAACGGATAAGAAATGTTATTCTTTAACACTATTTATGGTTCCTGGTGAAGTTGTTAAATGCAGAAATCTGTTAGGCAACATCTGAGATACTTTAAAGAGTGTGACATGGCTTTAATTACCTTCAATAGTTCAGTGGAGCTGTAAGGTGAATGCCATTTTCTGTCACTTTCAAGCTGGCAGTTACCTGGTTGATGAGATCAGAGAAGGATCTGCAAACACGTTCAGCTGTAAAGAAAAAATGCTGCTTCAAGACTGACTGTTGATCTGAAAAGAAGAACAGAAGAATAGGTCTTTCAGAAAACTTGGTTGCTGCCAGAACTCTAGAATATGCTTCATAAATCTCTAATATAAGACAATTCTGTATAAGCAGCAGCTTTTTCTGTCACTCTCCTCATTACAACCTCATTATCATAATGAGTGTTGAACAAAGTTTTGCTGTAGTAAGACTATTGATTACAGAAGCATTCTGTACTGCTTAAAGTTTGCCTAGGTCTAGAGCAAGAGTTACTGTGTCAGAGTATTAGCTGACAAAAGAAAAGACCTCCAGTGCACCTCATCAGTATGAGTTCGCTCCACAATTGACTGCAGAGACTGACTTCCTCTTGCATGCTTGTTTTAAATTACTCAAGTATTAGGGACTATAGTCTGCCTTAAAGGAGTGAGTTCTGCACCTTAGAGTACACCTATATTGCACCTTACAGCAATGCAGTACTTTTATAATGGCAAGGGCAAGATTCCGAGTTTCCTCTGAGAGTTAAATGACTATGAGTGATTTATAGAGCAAATTGGATGAAGGTGAGAAGATAGTGTCTAGATAACTGAGAGAACTCGTACCTGGTTGGGCTTGAAGAGACAATGCATCCATTAATTTCATCACTAGCTGCTGCAGGTCCACTTCATCACAGAACTCCTTATCAGATGATATCTGTACTGCAGCAGGAATAAGAGCTGTATCCCTTATGATGTCACTGTCGTAGTTTTCCATCAATTCAGGCAGATATGTTTGATTATCTTTTATTTTTTTAAACTGTCCCATAAAAACTCTGTCACTCTGCAAGGTCTTCACCAGGTCTTCTGAGAAAATGAAGTCCACTGTAGCAGAAGCCTCAGGTGACTCTAAAACCTGTATTCTATTTGCAGAGTTGAGATGATCCAAAGCTTTCCAATCTGAACTTGTTCTGAAAATGGGCTTTATTTCAACAGGATTTAATCCACCCTGCATTCTGCTTTCCTGAAGAACATGCTGATCTCTTGGCATCATATTCTGACACAGTGAAAATGAAGGATGTGCTGTTGACTGTAACATTGTCTACAGTAGAAAAAACAGAGAAAATATATAATGAAAATAATTGTTGTTTTTGCATGTTGGTAGTACTAAAATAGGTGGGAAAATTCACCCACAGAATTATATATATATATATATATTTAATTTCTGGTGTATTTTAACCAATAATTTTTACAAATAAAGTTATTTGCCTGGAGTGAAATAAAGCTTTGAGTTTGGATAAATCTATGTGGCCATTTTTTCCCACAGTTCCAATCTGAGGACATATGCTTTAATGCCATTGAAAATTGAGGATAATAATGTTCTAAAGACTAAATTTGCAGGAAAATCAATCTAAAAGAATTAAACTAGGGGAAAAAACACCTCACAACCACCGACATATACAATTCCAAAGCCAGGCTAGCTTTGGTGCCACAAATCTATTTGGAATTCTCTATACTGCATCAGGATGGCAAACACCATTATAGCATGAACAACTGAACTAACTGTGCATACACTGAGCACCTAACTGCAATTGTGCAGTTGTATCAATCCTGCATGTTGTGGACAGGACGGCATCACAGCATGCAGTATGGTGACACACCAGGTCATACTGGACTCCATGTGCAAGTGCCATAAAGCTGTGCATTGCAGATGTGTCTTGTATTCCTATATGTTTAACCTGAAAAACACTCTAAAAGTTGCATGGCAGAAAATGACACAAAATGCTGTAGTGTAAAATATGTATGAGTTCCCTGTAACACAGAATCTCTTCAGAACCTCAGAGATAGTTCAAATGAACAAGAATTAATATGACTGAAAAGAAAAAAAAATATTTTCTATAGGAGGTCGGCATTATATCCTAATACAAGACAACAATTAGGAATGATAGAACAGAATTTTATTTATTTATTTATTTATTTATGTGCCTATAGAGCATTCCTCTCTAAAGGAACAACTGCAATGAAATATCTAATACTTCCACTGAGAAACATTTTTTCACTCTTATCAGAATTCTTTTTCATTATCTTCATTGCAATATTATCTAAACATCCCAGACATGTCTATCTGTATTAGGTGCTAAATATATTTAGAATGAGAAGAAAATCCCTGCCACAAAGAGCCTATCTCCTCTCTATGAAGCTAAAAACTGGAGCTGACTAAGCAGATAAACAGAGAAAGCAGACTCAAGGGAAGTGGTCTGCAAGAAAAGTAGTAGTTAGCATTCAGTAATTGTCCATAGCTGAGAAGATTCTTCATTAATTTTATCACTATACCTTTACTTCTTGCTTCATTTTACACAACTCCATTTGCAGGTTTTCATGGCTTGCTCTCAGGCTTTGGAGCTCTGCCTCTATTTTGAAGCTTTTGTCCTCCTGGCAGTTATGAAGAAATTGCATTTTGTGCTTCCATTTATTCAACTGCTTCTTCATGTACCTTTCAGAGAGACAGGAGTGTGGGAATATTTCTAGATTCATTACACACACACATACTTCCAATCATGGAAAAGAGCAAACACTGTAGAGCAAGCTTTCTTCTATTTGTCAGTTGAGCTTCTGGCTGAGATGACAGCATTTCAGGAACTGGGCTGTATACACAGAATTATCAAGAACAGGAATATACTGGGAGAAAGATGCAAGTTGAGTGGAAGTGCAGCCAGGGCAGAGACTTGCATCTTGGGGTTTAGCATTGCCATAAAGACAGCTGCTATACAAAGAGCAGTCCCTCTGTCTAGGAATGAACTTCTCTGGCAATTCTTAAGGCAAATCTCTGATCTGCAAAAGATTTGCATCCATTTTCTCTAGGCATCATTAGAAAAAAAGCAGCCTTTCCCTCTCTAATTGAATCTCTTCTTGCTCCTGGCTTGTCTAACAATACCAGTAGTCTCTGTGCAGGCCACTTTCCCTTGAAATGATACTGAGACTTTCATGATTAGAAGCTTCACTCTCTCACACACAGGGAAAATTTAGAAATTACGAACACAGAGCGCAGCATGTTAAAACTACTACTCATATCTCTGGTCTAGAGGTGGGATCTCTCTAAGAAGTCTGGGCAGAAATACAATTCTGTCTTTCCCATGGCTGAAGTGAAGACGGAGAGAAAAACTAGTTAATGATGCAGTAATAAGCCAACTGCCAAATATTACCCAGCCAAAACAATTATCTGTCTCATTCAGTTACATTCAGAAGTTTATCTGATTCACTTTTTTGTGTGCATTCATTGGCTTACACAGACAACAGCAACATCAGCTTCACTGAAATCATGCACAATTTGTCAGAATGGGACAAGTTGATTACTTCAAATTTAATATTACAGTTTGTTCCCCTATTAAAGCATTTAATTGGCCTTTAATGTAAACTAATGACTGCCTTGAACTACCTCAGAGTTTGGTTCTATGAGCAGACATAAACATTGTAAGCTGGTCTGCAAATAATAACAAAAAACTTCCCATGTGTAATGTAATTCATTCACCCAGTTATGATAAGCTTTAGGTCAAAGGGTTTTTCTTTGCCTGAAACTGTTTTTCCAGTGATCTTCACTTGCAACTTTTGTCGCTGAGGTTTTTCATTCATCCTCACTTGAGAGGAAATTATTTAAAATCTCAAAATCATTCCTGTATTGCTGCCCTGGTTTTGGTTAGGATAGAGTTAATTTTCTTCCTACTAGCTGGTATAGTGCTGTGTTTTGGATTTAGGAGGTGGTGAGCTATTGCACTGTGCATCTTTTGTTTTGTATACTATTATTATTTCTCCTTCCTTTTAGTCCTGTTTTACCGTCATTATTTCAAGCTATGAGTTTTATGTTTTTTCCGATTCTCTCCTCCATTCCACTGAGGTGAGGGGAAGTGAGTGAACATCTGTGTGGTACTGAGCCATCTAACAGGTTAAACCACAACAATCACCCAGAAGTCGTTGGTCATTGAAATACAGCTTTTACCTACCTGCTCTTATTGTGAATACTCCTGATGGAATCATGCATTTTTAACACATCTGCTTCAAAAGATGCAATTGCCTAAAATAAAAAAGAGAAAAATCTCTGTTCATAACTTATCAGCAATAAAAAATTATTTTCTTTGCGAATTCTGTTATAAACAGGCATGGCAATTGGGGGATTTGACCTGTTTTATGGATTTACTAGCTACTTTCTCAGTTAACTGATTGCACCCAACAAATACATTAATGTATTTGTAGTGGCTGTTAAAATGGACTGAAAGATTTTCTCAATATAGGACAAATTCTTTGTTATATGACACATTCTGAGTGTTTCAGACTATGTTTTCTCTCCAATCAGAACAAAACCTAATTCTTTGAAAATCCTGAAAAATGAAATATTCTGATTTGGGAACAGTCTCTCCCAAGTCATGCAGCTGCTTTGGGACAAGGAAACGTAGGAAGACAGTCTGGATGTAGAAGGGAGAAACTTCTGGTCATTGGGTGCAAGTAGTAGCCTCTGGGCCATGCAGAACAGTAAGTAGTTCCAGAAGTCATGGAGACAAAGGTTTTCCAAATAAGATGCTTTAGAGGCATGGCATGAGCTGGGCTGAAACCTGGGCAACCAGGTAATTTTGAGACCCATTGTTGAGATCCTAGGACCTTCAATGGACTCTTTTAAAAGTTACCTTGCATAGGATTTACAGTCTGCATCTTTTTAAGCAATATGCACTATTGTTGGAAATCAGTATTAAAATACTCCAAAAGAATTCCACCCAAGGGAAAATTCAACAAGACAGTAATGAATTTGACAGAGTACCACTATAGCCATGTCTCACTGTCTTCTGAAACAACAAGTGTAAACCATTAAAATGACATGCCTAAGCATTATCTGCTCACAATTGCTCCTGTGCATGTGTGCTTGCTGGCATTATATCTCATGCTGGGCAGAGACCTAAAAGACAGTCCTACTTCAAAAGGACAAGCACAGGAGTAGCAGCAAGGGAGTGACCTGACACATGCAGGGTAGTTTGCAGTTACTGCACTCTTGGCTTCTGGGAAGAACAGAATGAGTAGATGACACAAACTGATTTGAACACAACCCAGTGTTCTGTATTTTCCTGGTAAGGGCAGAACTATGAACCTCTCAAATAAATATAGAAACACAGTACTGCTATATACTTATTTTTATTTACACTATCCTTTCCACTCCTCTAGTATTGTTTCTGTGCAGGGAACATGGAAATAGCTTTTATATATGAGCTATTTCAGTTGAAGTGGACACTACTTAATCCTTAAAAAGGGCCCATGCCATCCTCTTATATTGCTATAGTGACAAAGGAGGTCTAAGCCTATTAAGAATTAAGATGCCTTTACTCGATGCTTGCAGTGTGTGGTTATGATGGCATTTTTTGCTGTCACAATAGAGAGAGGGCTCTAGTATTACCCAGACTTTAATATGCTGCTCTAAGACAATTTGAAAAGAAAAAAGTTAACAAAGCAAATTTTCCTACAAATGCTAGCAAGAGTCACAGAAGTCAAGGAGTTAGTCACTAATCTTGTTCACTGAGTTTTCAGTTCCCTCATTCTTCACAGAAAGATGAAGCTGTCCATTACATTTCTTTTGCATTCATAATTAGACATCAATTAGATAGTTAACATGGTAGGTCTTCTTCCAAGCTTTAATTCTATTACACCTTGATGTCTTACTAACCTGAATTTTTGTCTTGCCTTGCTTCAGTATCTTGCTGTTATTGTCATTCTTGTGTAGCACAGTTCTGTTTTTGGATATAAACTTGGGTGATTCCAGAATATGGTTGTTCACTGGGAGAGACAGGTTTTCATGTCTAGGAAATGGTGAAGCACTGAGTTCTGTTCGGGGACTGTATACCAACAAAGAAATACTGAGTAGAGAAAAGATCAAACTTTATACGGTTCTGGTACCCTGAAGGATCAAGATAAAACTGAAGTACTGTGGGCAGACAAACAGCTGCACTATTGACTGAGGAAGAGGTATGGTCTGGCTATGCCCACTGGCAGATTTTGGCTGAAAGAATGAAATTTCTTAAAACAAATTCCACTCTTTTAATAGAACCTCAGCATTAGATTCTTCTCTCCTTCCATTTAGCATCAGAGCAATTTGCTCCTTCTCCTTTTCACATTAGCTAAATATTTTGAGAAATTCAATGATAAAAAGATAGCAAAGGGCCAGGCATCCTGTTGTGCTGGTTATTCTGGAAAAGCTCAGATACCTATCAGCTACACAGTGACACCTATAATGACACCCTCAAATGCTTCTTTTTCAATAAATGCTATCCAAGCATAAGGTAAGAAAAAACCCACTGAGAATCAGAGAAATCTTGATTGCTCACAGAAGGATTAAATGATATTCAAGAATGAAGAAATGTATCACTGTTGAGAGGAAGTGGGGACAATGGAAAATGGTTTGCATTTCACCACATTCTGAAGAACAAACACTGAAATAATATTCTTTATGACAATCATTGTAACTATCATCCATTGATCGTAGCAAAAATAAAAAACTGGTTTCTAATAGCAATATATTTACTGAGCGCTACAGTATAGTCAAGTTTTATACTAGATCTTTCTCTTTCTTCCCACAAGGATGAAATTATTTTATTATAACTCTTTTAGAGAGGAGTGATGCTTTTTTCTCTGTTTTGTTCTCACTCTCATTTGCAGAACACATGAGATACTGAGAGTTACTAGGTCTTTACACAACAAACAAGGTTTTCCACCTTTCCTAAGTCTGTGTGCTTATCTCATCTAATTGTTCTCTCCAGTTTCTAGATTTAAGTATCAACCAAAATCCCAGAGCAAAGAAGGAGTAGCTATACAGAAAATCATAACACGACTTCCAGTGCTCATCATTAACTACTGAAATCTGTGGAAATACACTAATGAATTCACACATTAACTAAAAGCAGGCAAAATGGAACTGACCTAAAAGAACTGGAATCGTAATGCAAAAAATCAGCTACTCTTAACAGTGAGTAATCCCACAGAACTGCTATTCAGTGGGACTTGATTAGAATGCTACGCAGTGAAATCACTGTGGGTCACATGCAGGAAGTATTCACTTAATTTCCAATTTCCAGCACAGAAGAGGTGCTTAAAATCCATGCGGTTTTACCATGACAGGTACTAAATATTTGCAATCTTTGACCTTAGTCTGAGCATTAGATATAGCATGGAAAGAAAGAGATGACATAGGGAAGGAGGAAAGGAAGACATTAGCATGTTGTATCTTTTAAGACAACTGGTCATTAGGTTGTCAGCATGCTAATCATGGTTAAGCAATAGAACAATGTGCAGCAGCTTCCCATTTATGTTTTCAATTTTTTATGGAAAAATCATGACAGTCTGCCATAACAAAGTCACTTACTTAAAGAACACAATCAAGCAATATCTTACAGCCTGACACTTTATTTGGAGAGAAAAAATTCATTGAAAACAGAAACTCACAGAATCTTTTTGTGAGTAGGAAAAGGCCTCTCCTCCATTATCTCCAGAACCTTCCTTCCCTGAGCCTCCTTTCTTCTGCAGCAGTCCTGAAACAGGTTGTTTCTGACAGTGCAGAGAAAGTGCTTTGCATTAGCCTTTGCTGACATCTGTTGGGATAAGGGATAACAGAGAAGGGAGTGAATTTTCAAACAGTGCTGCCCAAAAGTAGGCATAGCCCAAGCCAAAAGCAAGACGTGCAAAGTTCCAGCTGTTCAACAGTTGAAGAGGTTCATGACTGCTGTCTGAGATGTGGAGCTGAAGAGGATGATGGTGCAGGATCACAAGCAAGATCAGCTCCAATTCTTTTATGTAAGCAGAATACCCTGCCTGGGCCAAACTGAAGCAGCCTGGAAATGTTTAATACAGTGTTTTTGCAAATGCACAACAAGAATTCTATCCAATTAGTTCATAAGTTCTCTTTTGAGCAATAGAAAAAAAGTAATTTTTAAATTGGTGTGAAGTGTTAACATATACAGCCTTCAGTGTTTCACATCCTCCTCTGATACAATACAATGAAAACCATACTTGCAATTGTCACAGCAGGTAAAACCATACTTGCCATTGTCACAGTGTCAGGTAAAACAACTATGCTCCACAACTATATATTATGGCAGGACACGAATCAATTCTTTCCCAGAAAATGACTGGTGCAGAATATTGGGAAAGGCTTAACAGATTGAACAGGAAAACAGAAGAAAACACACAGCATGCATCCCAGTCGTTTTCAATGGTAATATTACCACAAGGTGTCAGCACAGTAAAGAAAAACAGTGTTGACACTTCAAATCCATCTCAGCACCCCACACCCTGGTAAAGACAAAGTAAAAATGTAACTGACCGAGGACTGCTAAGAGTAGAATGTATGGGAAAAAGGGCTCACTAGCAATTCCTCCATGTTTCACAAAAAAGGAAGAAAGAAAAAATGGAAGAGGGTTGATTTGGATGAGATATTAGGAAGAAATTCTTTACTCTGAGAGTGGTGAGACACTGGAACAGGTTGCCCAGAAAGGCTGTGAATGCCCCCTCCCTGGAAGCATTCAACGCCAGGCTGGATGGAGCTTTGAGCAACCTGGTCTGGGGGGAGGTGTCCCTGTCTATAGCAGGGGGGTTGGAAACAGATCTTAAAGCTCCGTTCCAACACACCCCATTCTACATAACTTGAGTACAGCTATTCAGTTGCAATATTGCAGCAACAACATAGGAAAACTTAACGTCATGCAGTATAAGAGAGAAAGAGGACTTGATTTTAAACCAAAATTGATTTCACTCACTTGCACTCACTCACTCAAAAGTACTACTGTACATGTGTTCAGGTGGTCTCTCCAGCATTCACATACCAAGATGTATGTATCCACATGGTATGACTGCAGTGACTTTACACTGACAGGGAGGAAAAAAGATGCTAGTTCTCTTTCAGACTCCTGGATTACTTGCACTGTGCTGTTTTTTGGATGCACCTTTAATTCCTTTAGGAACTCACAGTCATGATCTTTTGTCTCTCTACCTTTGCTCAGTTCTGTGGGTCATGAGGATTTATTTGCTATCTTCTGTCTCCTTGGATGTTTTTCAGCCACAAGTCTTCTCCTTTACCTTCACATTATTATCTTCAAATGGCTTTGTCCTTTGTTTCAGGTTGCTGTTTATTTTCCTACTCTGAGCATCCTGAGAAGCTGTGTGTATGGAAGGGCTATAAGCTTGCTGACCAACTAATCTAGGTTGCATCATCTCCTGACTTTGACACACCTCTCCTGCTCTTACTTCTCAAGCTTTGACATTCACACCTTCCCATGCATTCCCCATTCACATTCATTTTAATGTCCCTAATAGAAATCTCTGCATGAGGAGATAAGTTGTCATTTGATTGTTCTCATGATGTTTTCCATGATGTTTCTCATGGAGCATAAGGAAGGATATTTGGAGGAATGAATATCTCTATATTATTTTTAATGAAGATATTAACCAAACATCTCCCTGGGAAGAGGACTTGCAGTCTGACATTTCATGTCTCTATTCAGTTATTTCAGAACAGAACATTTCTTAAGTTAGAAGTCGTCTTTTTTTCTTTTCCCTGACTCACTGTTCTCAGAAAAATAAATCCTAATGCCGCATGGGTACCATGGCTGAAATATACATTATTTTATAATCAGTTTAGCTCAAGAGTGTATTGTCAAATTGCCCATATAAAGAGCCAGAACAGGGGAGTAGGACTCTACCTGCACACAGTGTTCCACGACAGGATGTGAACTCTTATGTGGTTTGCTGAGACGGCCAGTGAAAAAGCAGACCTGGCAAAGGTCAAAATTCAGGCACTTCAGGCAACGGTATCTTTGGAAGTAAACAAAAGGATTAAGTTACTTCCTTGCAACTGAGAACTTGATGTAAGTGAGCTTGACTAGTAGAAATTCATATCCCTGCATTCTGAAATGCAGAGAAGCTCTTAAGTTAGAATACAGATTTTCACCAGCATTTTCTGAATAGCAAGCATTATTTTGTCCACATGACAATGGAATAATCTCCAGAACCCAGTCATGATTTTTGGCATTATTAATTTGCTGCAATGAAATTCAGTCCAAAAAAACCACCACAGTTGTTCTAGTATCATTTTTGAAAATGCGGTGTCATCTTCACATTTCTTATAGCTTACCTCTATCTGCTGCTCTCATTGGACTGTAATGTTACTACACTATTGACATACAACTTGTAACTTAAAAAAAATTCAAAAAATTAAACACAAACCCTCTAAATTTACTGTTAGTGAGAAAACAGTTACTGTAAAATGCTGCTCTATGCATTCTGGTCCAAGGTAATGTCTATTTTTTAATCAGGAGGCATTTTTACTTAGATGAATAAGGTTGTAAGATCGCTAACTTAACTAGACAGTTAATATGCCCAACTGATTATGGGAAAAAGAACTACAAAATGAGATACATAAGCTCAATCTGTGGCTTTTCCACTGATCTGCAAGTTTACTTTCCGTAAGTGTCTAATAATGCCTGTGCCAGTGAAATAAAGTGAAACAGGATGGAAGCCTGAGCCAGGCTGGAGCTTGGAATAGTCCTCTCTTTCCCACATCTGATTTGTTATGTTCAACATCTATTGCTTAATATAGTAGTTTAAGCCTGCAGAGTATGCAAACACAATAGCAAGAACTTTCTACATGGATACTACAGACTACAGTAGTTACTGCCATACCTGAGGCCTGTAATGGGGAAAGTCTTGCAGACTCTACATCTGACACGGTGAGAAACCATTTCCGTGGCTGATAATCTGTAACATGTAGGGAGCCATTGCAGAAGAGCAGGTCCTGATCTCAGCCAAGACAGGAATTCTTCTTCAACAATTCCTGAATTCAGAACCTGGAAAAAATATGCATCTCAAGTTCAGCCATTTACTTGAAAAGAACTAGTATCTCATCTACAGTTGTTAATAAAAGTTCGTATGTTGGACTCTGCTAGCAGGGATTTTTTCATTCATATAAAATGCTACTGGGTTTAAAAGTTTAGAATAAATGCAAGTATTTGGTAGTATCTTACTGAGCATCTTTTCTACAGATATCACTCTCTCTATATTGTGAGAATGACAAACAGCCCTGCTTCTTAAAAGTATATACTGGTATATATCATATGGTGATACACTTCCAATCTTAATTTATCATCAACAGTTAAAGTAATTTCCCAGGACATCTGAATTTCACTCACCCCATGGAAACAGCTGTGAGTAGCAATTTCCACACAAGACAAAGTGCAGCCTTCTCCTACAACGGATGGGATCTGCATTGAGAAGAAAGGCTTAGAAGCACCTCAATAAAAAACAGATGTTCCCATCATGCTCAACTGAGATGGTCACAGCACACCGATGGTGAAGAGCCTATAGAAATTCTATTTGACATACTTTTCTCAAGAAAAGCTGTTCAGATTCATACCATCAGTGCACAATTTCAGAGTTCAACATGTGTCAGAATGATTTGCTTCCAGCTCACTTATTCTAATGGATCAATATACTACATTGCCGCATTAGAATACTGAAGGACAGTAGGTTTGAACCTCAGAAGTCATTTTAAGACCCCATTTTTGGCACCAGTTCAGCTGGAAATACTTGCATCCTAAGGCTTTATTCTGCAATTGCAAGCTATTCTAGTGAGTGCAAGCATCTGAAGATAGAAATTGCTTTAGCAACGGCTGCATGCAGCTGTTCGCAGAACCTTTAAGCTCAGGCAAAACGAATACACAAATACTGATCTCAGACATTATTAAGACTAAGATTATTTAGCTAGATAATTTGATTATTTTGTCTACTTTGCATGATAGATCCCTAAATCCACACGGTGTCCTGCTGACATCAGTCCCATAATATAATCAAACATAAAAAGCATCAACGATATATGTTCTCCTTTCAGATTAGAATTCCTCCTTTAGACTTGTTACCTAGAAGCACTGCAGCAGCATTACCTGATTCAAGTCTGTTAGTAGGCTTCTCAGAGCACTACGGGTTATCAAGGCCTTCTTCCCATCAGGAACAGCATAAAATTCAAAGAAAGCTGAAAACAACCGGAGAAAGGAAACTAGAATCCTAGCAGAGCTTGAGGAGTCTTCTAGATATTTATTCTCAAAATATCTGCATGATTATTACAAAGTATCAAGTAAACCTCTGAAAACAACTCTCCTTTAATTGTCAAATCTAGCAAGCACTCAGTGACTGATGACTATACTTACCCAACAGGGAAAGGAGAAAGTGGAGAAAAGCAAATTAAGAATGAAATTAAAGCAATCTCTTATCCTTAAAAGTTAGGACTGGAAGGATGGAGGAAACACAAAGCTCATTTTCATGGCTGTAAGAAACATAGTTAAATATGTCCTGTTTAAATTGTGAATTGTCAATTCCAAGTAATTTGAAAGAAAATGCGTAATAAGCAATGGAAGAGTACGAAGCCAATATGCTTCTTGCAGTTCATTTGTTCTCCATTTTGAGCATTTAATTCAGGTGGAAGCCTTTGTGCTGCTCTATGCACTGGGCTAACTTCATCTTTTGTATTTCTTTAAGCATTTCTTGTCTAATATTTAAAAGATCCCTAATGACTTGATGGATCAAATATATACATTTGTTTTTGGCTCTAGTGAAATTTAAAACAAAGGGTTTCTGTCCTTTTCTGCTAGGCAAACAGAACTTGGACTTCATTACTGAGCTTTGACCATTTTGCAGAGAAGAATATGAACACTGATGACAAAATACTTTTCTGCATCAGCCTTTTTCTACAACATAATTTACTTTCTGCATCAGATTTACAGTCTTTTACAGTAAATAAACAAACAAACAAACAAAAGAAACCCCCAGTATTTTCTCAACATTCAGTATTTTACACAGTATATAAACCGTACATTTCCCACCTCTGTATTTAGCAAGTAGAGTGTCTCCTGAAAGGGCAATTAGGGCAGCTGCAGCAGATCTAGTTTTGATATAACCTGTTCCAGATCTAGAAAAATAAAATCAATTACATTACATATACCAAGAACACAAAACCTGGAACCTCTAAAGAAAAAGAATACTTATGCTGTAAGATAACTTCAACATTCATATTCTTTTGTATGTACACAGCAGATGTAGCACTGTAGTGATATTTTATGTTTAGGACTGTTTGTGACTGAACATGACTACAACGTTCAAGATACCATTCAATTTTAAAACAAAAATACAATATCTCTTTCAAAGATCTCACATTCTAATTAAAACATAATTTTATTCCTATAATACTCAGCCTAAGAGTAATTAATTAATTTATCATCCTCTTGTAGAAGGCCTTCCCAAGTATGGATGAGAAAGTAGGACTACAATCTGTTTTTTCTACTATATCATCAGGTAAAATCACTGTGGCCCCAGACATACCCCTGCACCTACCTCTTGGATTAACTTCCTTTAATTTCACTGCAATTCAAATAGAACATGCATAGAATATTCACCAGATATTGCTATTTAATGAAACTTACAAGAACATTTTTGTGACAATTATTTTCAAAACTCATGAAGTATAATACCAAAAACCCTTACAAAAGTTTATGTAAGCATGCAATTAAGCAACCACACAGACATGGCAGAGCACTTGTATGTTCTTGCCTTGAATTACTTTCAATTGGTACTGGAAAGCAGAAAACAGCAAAGAGAAAACATGTTTTGAAGAAAATTACAAAATGCATTTTCTATCCTATCTATGCAGCTTGTGAAAACAAAAGAAGCTTGTGAAAACAGATTTATAAAAAGATATTACAGCATAAAGAAAGTAAAATACCATCCTTGCAAAACAGGAAAAAAAAAGGCCAAGACAGTCCTGTTAAGGAGATTCTTCTAAATGGTTTACCTGAGGTGATACTTAAAGCAAGAAAATTACAAAATGCACCTGATGTTTTTAGCTCTGCTTTGAAATACATTTATTCTTAGACTTCATTGATGTTGGAAGTACAAAAAATTAATAGGATGGGATCTTGAATAGTAGTAATCATACGATTAATAGTAATTCAACATGGAATCCTGTAGAATATCTGTATCTTACTCATATTCTCTCAGTAAAAAGCTTTGTTCTGATGAAAGAGGGAATTAATTTCATCTGTGGTGAGTAAACTCAAGAATGAACTAAGCCTTTTCTTTAAAATCTGATACAGTAATCAAAACAATCCTGAGATTAATTTAGGTTTGATATCCGGAAAAACTACTTAACAGAAAGGGTTGTTAAGCACTGGAATAATAGGCTCCCCAGGGAGGTGGTTGAGTCACTATCCCTGAATGTGTTTAAAAACCTTTGGATGTGGTGTTCAGGGACATGATTTAGTGGAAGGTTGTTAGACTTAAGGTAGTATGGTTAGGTTCTGGTTGGACTTGGTGATCTTTAAGGTCTTTTCCAACCTGAGCAATTCTATGATTCTAATGAATTAATCCATATTGTTTGTGAATAAGCTGAAGAAAAATAAATAATGGGAAGTGGCTGGTAAAGTTTTTACCTGTGCATATACAAAGGCAAATATGGATTTTTATTCAGAAGTATCAAAAAACCCTGGCTGTCAAGTGAAGAGTCTCTCTCTTTGTACACTGATGTTCACAGAAGAAGCTAGTACAGGCAGGCAGACATCTGGACTTTTTGGAATTATCTTACCACCATTTCTCTGCTACTGTCTTGTGCCCCACCTTCCTGTATCTGAAATACATCATGCACAACTTAAAGAAAATACCATCATCATGGAAGAGTTTAATACAGAAGTGACATAAGAATGGTAGAAATAGAATTGATCTAGCAGTACTTTGTGATGGATTTATATTTGTGCTCTCTCTCACCTGTCATACATGGCTTCTAGCAGGCTCAGTGTGAATTCGGCAGCTCTTGGATCTACCTGGCCTGGCTTTTCTAACCTTGCTATTTCAAACAACTCCTTCAGCATTCCAGAGAGCTGCTGCAATTCAAGAGAAATCTCCTTTTCCCTCTGTCTCTGCTCTCTTGATACAATGTGCTGAATCAGAGAAACATTGATCAAATCCACTGTGGGAAAACAAAAGAAGAAACAAATGAGGATTCCTGCTTTCTCTTGAGTAGAAGCTGAACTTCCCTTTTTTAATCAGAAGTACCTACTTTAAGTAAGTCTAGACAATTAAGTCTAACACAGTATGCGACATAAAAAAGAAATAAGCAGGGAAAGGCCTTGCTGGGTTTAGGGATACAGCACAACTTGTGAGGCTGTAAGAGTAGAATACCTCAACTAAAATTTTCTGGAGATGATTTTGAAATAGCTAGGAGGGGAAGGAAAATAACATAATGAACTGCATGCACGTTATAAATGAAAACAGCACAGTAACTGCAACTAAATTGTAGACGTACATTTCATTGTATATGTAGAAAGAGAGACTACAAGTTTATGCACCATTTTGTACTTCAAAATAAAGTTCTGTTAGGACTGTGGAATCAATGTGTACTTTGGAGTGGGGTTTTTTCTCATTCCAGATACAAAGAGAAATAAGATACTTTGGCCAAGAAAGTTGCTAATATATTATACTATAAAGTGTATCATAACTAATACCCAGTGGGAAGAATGAGCTATGACTGCTTAAAGGACACATCCAGTACAACAGAGGCATGATTAATTAGAATCAATAATGAATGACTGGAGTATATGCATGTATTCATCTCTCATCACTCTCAAAACAATAAGGCTGCTGAAGAAGGAGAGAATATCCTAGAATATGTCACCAATTGTCTTTCCAGTGAGGACTGAAAGTATCAGTGCAAGACAATGGTGAAGCTCCATCTGTGTGCAATTCTGGTCACCAGTGTTAAAGGAAGAGGGTAAGTGGAGTAGTTTCTATGAATCCTGAGGCAACATGGAGGTCTAAGCAATAGAGCTAATGAAAACCAGTGCCTCTCTGAGTTAGTACCTAGATGCTGTGACACAGCACCCGGCAGATTTAGCATTCCAGGGCTGAAATTAATACTTCAAATGTAGGGAGAATGAGTGCTAGGCTGCAGTTTTCTGCCTGTCATATTTTGGTTTGTTCTCATTAATACTTATAATATTTCTCATTAATACTTGTAGCATTATAAAATATGCACATTATAATATTTATAATGTTGTAGTATAGCAATTCTCATTAATACTTCTAGTGCCTGTAAACACATTTTTGATTATCTATGATTACTTCCAATAACTCCTACAGATAATATAAAGATTCATTAATTGCCAGTGAAGTATATATAACAATGTAGATAGAAATAACACCTTAATTCTCTCATGCATTTAGAGATTACTAATATATTCCAATGTATATTCAAACAGGGAGAAAACTGATTTGTATACAAAGAACTATCTAGCTCTTAAGCATTTATAATGCACTCTGAATTTTTCAGGTGGAAAATGAGAGAGAAAAGTAGTGTAATAACTCATTATGACAGCAACACAGAATTTTTACAGATTCCTCTTCCCGTAAAAGTACATAATTTTCTTCATGTACTAACACTGGCACAGACTTTGTAGTGAGCGTAGTTTTAGGGCTGTTCTGTAGATGGAGCTCTGAATGTCATTGAAAGCCTCTGAAAAAAAAAAAAAAATAGAGAAGGTAATTAAAAAAAAAAAAAGCAAAACTGAAATAACTTAATTTTGACTTGGTCAAAACCCACAACACTTTTTTCAAGGAAAATTCTGACAAATTTTGATAAAAATGAAAGCACTCCTTATTTTTCCCGTAGCTTTGTGAGGAAAATGGTCTTGAGGAAAATGGCCTTATTGCCAGTGGCATGATGAATCAGAAAAATTGTATTTAGTAGACAAAGCACATCTGCTTCTTCAGGAATTAAGTCTCTGAAAAATGGATATGCAGTATGTGTACTTTTAGGTAAGATCATACTGAAACAATACTTCTAGGCAGAACACATTCTTGATCAGAGTAGAAATGCTTTTCTACATGGAACAGTTTGTCAGTCTGTACAGCAGAGTTATTGTTCTGGATGCCTTTTTTTCCAAGCATTAAACAAATTTTCTGCCAAGATCAACATCTGGAATTGTCTCATAAGATAAGCAGTTTACCAGGGCAACTAGCTTTTGACATCTCTGCTTAGTAATTTCACTCAAGTTTCTCAACTAAATCCTATGCCCTTAAATTGTTTCAAGTCATCCATTTCACATCACTAAAGCATGACTGTCTGTGTGGAAAGTAATGGTTTCAGAACTTGACTTATGCCTGCTACTTTACATATATCTATAGCTGCACACTAACAACAACAGGAAAAAAAAAAAAAAGTCTTGATCATAATAGCATAAGCAACAAATAATACACATAACTGGGCAGGCAGAAATAATTCATTTAACTCTCTACCTGTTTAGTATGGAAATGGGCCAATCTGTGTGCAATGGTTTCACACAAATGTTCCAGACTAATGTTAATAGTCAGCACATTATGGGCTCTGCTGGTTCCCAGATGCAGCAGATAGAAATAAGCCCTATCTGCCACACCATCTGTCTACTCCTGCTCTTGTCACATTATGTTTCATGGTACTATTTCAAGACCTAGAGTAGCATGTCATACAACGTGAAAAATGAGTTTTTACTTCCATGCAATAACAGTTCTCTTTCTTCAGTAACGTGATCCAAAGATTTTTTGAAAGAAATCCTGATTCCCACCGTTTTCAGTGGACTATTCAGTAAGTCCTAAATGTTTATTTTCTTACTTAGAAACATTAGAAACATACACATAATCCATCTTAAATACTTTCCACATGTAAGATGGCTTTCTAAATAGGGAGAATCTGTTTTAACAGCCATTTGCTATAAATTTGTTTTCAGTACATCTGTTGTTCAAATTCATCCTGGTAGGCAATATCTAGTATCATAGTAGGGCATTTTGTGCCAGTCAAGCAATAGTTCAGAATTAACTTGCAACAGCAAGTTAATAATAAGTATATGATAATAATATATATAATAACTATAGGTATATAATAATAATAATTAACTTGCATGCAGAATTAACTTGCAACAGCCAAAATAAATAAATAAATAAAAATTAATATATATATATATATAAAATATATCAGGCTAATTATTTATGAGAGACTACTTGGCAGGAGAGAACAATTAAACACATTTCTCATAGGGATGGAACTTTCCCCTTGGGCAGAAAACCATCATGCAATCATTCTGCAGAGTCAAATTCTACATCAAGACCCATAAATGCCTTTTGTTGAGATGCTGACAAAAGAATTCCTACATGTATAGGACACCTCTCCAGCTGGTGACTTTTAGTTTTGTACTGTGCACTACTGGCTGCGTAGCAGATGAAATATCATCTACAATTTTATACTTAAAATGGGAGTGTATAGCCATCCTTCATGCCTATTCTAGAATGTGAAAAAAAAAGCTTATATTGTAAATTGTAAAACTTATATTTGTAAATTGCATGTTGATCATTCCATGAATCAAGGTGGTAATGGCAGGGAAGGTGACACGACAAATCTACAAGCAGGCATGGCAACACAGCTGTGTAATTTGTCAGTTAAGTTTTGTAGCACAGAGATTCTGAGAATTGTGTGACTTCATTACAATTCAGTAGTTTCCTCGTAAACAGATACAGAAATATCTTTTGAGAGAAGTTGGTAAGAAATGAGAAAAATCCTTACCCTGCAAGTCTGGATTCATTTTAAGTGGGCAGATGGCATTAGACATTCTATAATGAAACAAATCAAAGTGCAAAATCACCTTATTGAGGCATATTGAACCATTCCAATCAAATCTAACAATCAAAAAAAATTACTGAATGCATTTCATAGATGAAATTTAACAGAATTATATAAAACAACATAGTGGATTTGGTGTGAGGTGTGGAGAAACACCAGAAATTTGCATGATCTCTGCTTGGGATAAAGTAGGGGCAACTGTATTAATGGCAAAATTGCACAAAGGAGAAAACCGTTCCCAAGGCAGTTGAAGAACAGGAAATGAGGTCTTCGACTTTTCAGGAGTCCAGCGTTTACATATAAGATTACCACATAGTCCATAATACCATATAATTTCAAGATAGTTACAGTATACCTTTACACCAGACTGCTCTCAAGTTTCAGTGATTGCAATTGATTCCAAGTCCATATTCTAAAATTTTCAAACCAAAGTGTTCAGGTTAGCTGACAGTATTCCTTTTTTGACCTCAGAAGGAATTGAAGAAGGAAGCTTAAGCATTAATCTACTTCCTAACATATCCCTGAATGCAAAAGTAGTTGTGTCATTGATGATAACAGAAACAAATTATCCTGTCAGAACTTATGTCTTTAATACTTTAAACTACATTATATTTTTAAATATAATAATATAAATTTGAATTCAGTATAGAAACTATCTGTCAGCTAATATTACAGTTGAAAAACACTAGGTGTAACAAGCCTAAGTTGCCAAAGATATTAAAGGTATATACACACACACACACATATTTATTTATATGGATTACAGTAGAAAAGAAATGGAAACTCAGTAAAAATAAAAATTAAGTAATTGAAAACTATCTGACTCCTAAACAATAAATTCAGTATTAAAACAAAACTTACCCAAGCTTTCACTGCTTGACATTTCTTGACATTTTTGCAGTGAGTCACTGATCATTTGCCAGAAGCATGATAGAATATTGACCAATTATGAAGCATAACATTTCATTTATCTATAATTATTAAATCTATCATAAATATATTGTTCATCATCATAATTGGTGAAAGCTGCAACTTTGTGTTTCAGTCTCTAAATAACCTATAAATATTTAAAATAATGGGATTCAGACTTGCTTTTATTACTTCCTCATTATAGAGTACAATGCCTCCATTTTTAATGAAGTTCCTCTGAAAGAAACACCACTGTTCCTTTTTCAGCATCACTCTGTTTTTTTCCCTTAGCAAGGTTTACAGCTTGGATTCAACCTTGAGTTCTGCGAGATTGCAGTTCTGCCCAACATTTACATAGGCATGCAACTTTGCTTATGCAATTACTCCTAAAATGGGCGCAGCATTAGATGTCTCCACTTTGGCAGAAAAATCAATTTATGGAAATCACTGAAATCAGAAGATTGAATTGAATTATTGTATTAAACATAAGCCACATGTAGCAACCTAAACTCTACATGTTTGATAAATGACAGATGTACAAAAACATAACTTGCCTCTTTTTTCCTCCTTTTGTCTCTCTACCAAAGGTACGTAAAATAAAACAAGAAGATGAATATAAAAATGCACAGGCTAAACTCACCTATATTAGAATTCAGTTTACCCACTCTAATAAGAACAGCTCCATTGGCTTCACTGAGTTTAACAGTGTGCATAATATATTAGCACTTGATACTTACGTAGGATAACGAACTCTCCATCCAGTACAGTGAAATGCTTACCCTATAAATTACTCATACGGATAAATACATTATACATTTGTACTATGGTCCTCAAGGAAGGTATCAAAGTTAAGTACGTGCTTAAGTGTTTTACTCAACTAGTGGTCATGATGCAATATCATAACGTCAGACAGGCCAGCTCCTGACTGCAGTAGGACTGTTTGGAAATGAGTGGGATCTACTCCACTGTTAGCATATCTATCTCATAATGAATACAGTATGATGGAAGAAGATCATCTGTCTACTAAAACATCACATCTGAATTAATAATGGTCACTGATAACTATTTCAGCCAGTGTTTTTGGATGCTTGTGCTCTTTACTAATAGTTAAGAGCAATTCCATAAAACAAAAAAGAATTATATAATTAGTTACAAATGTACAGGAAAGAAGTTTTATAATTTTAAATTCTAATCGTATTAACTCAACTATTATTAAGTGCAGAACAACAGTAGCCTAATTCTGGCACCCTAGTGTAAAGTGCAAGAAAAGTAACATGCTTTAACCACCCATATGTACTTTGTATGTCCATATGGATTCTCAGAATATGTTCTTCAGCAAATAAAATGCATTTTTAAACATAAAGCACAATTAAGTTAAAATACAGAAAAAGGCAAATCAGATCAAGTAAAGCAGAAATCTCTCAACGGATCAATTGACTTGATCACAGAAGCCTTTCTTCTTTTGAAATCAGTCAGACAATGTATGAGCAACATTTTAGATATGTATAAAATAATGTACAATTACTTCTGTTTCCTTAAAAGGGTGAAAACATTCCATGTTGTGTTCAAAGGCTGAAATTACCGTCTCCTTGTAAATAGAGTAACAGCACTTACCTTTATCTCAGCTAGCTGCTAAAAGCCCATAGGTCAGAAAACACCTTCAGAGAAGTCCAGTAGTTTTGTAGCACTTAGAAGTTGACTTCAAGACATAGTTCTAAAGGTTTTGCTTTTAAATGAATGCTGTTCTCAACAAATGCCTAGCAACAGCCCAGATCAAAGCATCAGGTAATTGTCTAAGCAGTCAAAACAGAAAACACTAATTAATTAGTAATAAATATCTTCAATAATTCAAGATAAAATTTCTTTGATCTTTGTTTCAAAGCCAATTTTTCTTATCATTGGAGTGCAATGTTTTTCAGCTGAGGGGTCTCTGCGAAGCGTCTCCAAGTTGCTGAGAAACAGTGTTGCTATAGAGAGGAAAAAAAAGGTGGAAGCTGGAACACTAAGGCAGCAAAAGGGCTGTAACAGTTGGTGCAACAACACAAAGAGAAAAAATAGTAAGCCCCAGTGTTAATGTCCTACAATAAGGAATGTTCCAATTACAAAGAAAGCTTACACACTCTTCAGCAGATCCAAACATGGAGAATATATATAACATTTTTTTAGATATATCCACTTATCTGAAGGGCAATTTTCATGTCTCTCACTGTAGAACGCATTTCCCAATATAGAATTCATCAAAGCTATGAATATCCTGCATACACAGCCCCAGCAGTAACTTCTGAGAAAACATGCACAAGCAATTACTTACTGCTTATAGAAAACCCACATTTGTCTATATATGACTAGGTCTAACATGATACAATCAACTTTGAATATATTATCATATTTTACCTTTCCTATTATTTTCATTCTTTCATACAGCCCTAAGAAAAAGATAAGAATCTTCAGTTTCCATTCTGTTATGTTTCCCTGAGTAAAGGTCTGAATTTCCTTGCAGGCTACTAATTAATTACTGCAAATTAGTTCATAACTATTAATTAGAGTAATTTTGGATATAAGAGAAATCCAATACATTGTTTTCTCATTTGCCTCTAAAACACTGAGGTGAAATTCTTTATGGTTCTCAGGCAGTAACTCAGAAGCCCAGTAAGTCTGCATAGAAACAAAACATTTCTGCAATATATTTCTCATTAACAGCTGAGCATTGTTTGTGCTTCAAATGCGTAGTTTGAACTGTTATCTCGACAGCAAGAATAAAAGAATTCAAATATTAAAAAGACTACAAGATCATATTCCACATATAAAAACATAAATTTAAATACATTTTACAGAAATTCCTGTCTTAGAATAAGAAACAAATCAAGTGTAGTTTATAAAAACTACTGATAGCATCCTTCTCTCCTATAGTCTCCCACAACACCCGCCTCCAGATTCTTCTAGAAATTCAATCAATTTTCTATGCATACAGTTCTAGAAACTAATCCTCTGGAGACCGTTTCCACATGAAATTAATGATTCCTAGCCCCCTACTTCAAGATTTCTTACAACTCCTGCCTCTACAACTTCCATGTGAATTTCTCCATGAAGATACTTGTACCAGTGAATCCTTGCTTCTCCCATATATATTTTGTGTAAGAAACTGCACTCTCACTTCTATCTCCCCTGTGAAATCCAGGTTTCCCGAGCTCATTTTTCTATGAACTCCTCATTCACCAGCTGGCAAAGAACACAAACTCCTCTTGATTACATCATGTAAGATGAAGGCTATCCCTGCTAAGAGTTTGAAGCTCCACTTGAACGAATGTGTTATTCCAATTGCATGAGTTCCATTCAAAGAATAGAAAACTTTTTATTTTCCTTTTAACATTCATAACTGATAAAAAATTAGCAAGTACAATCATAGTTCATTTATCATAGTCCCCATCTTTTAAGATACTGAAGACGTGAAAATGAAAGCAGTTTAGACAAGGACCTAAATAATTGTATGTCTGACGTGAAATGTATGAGCAGTCCCCATGAAACTAATGAAATAGAATAATAGAGATAAAAATGATCTTGTCACCAAAAAGATGCACGCAGTTAAACTGTTGCATTAAAAATCAATCTTGCCTAAGAATAAACATTCTCATATTAGAACGGTTCATCATAATCTACAACCACCATAAGATGCGGGAATTTGGAGTTATGAAACCACTGCTCTGTGAAACTTTGCTGAAGTCACCCTGATATGAACATTTCAGACACGAAAGGGTTTTTTCTAAACAGTTCATTCATCTGAACAAGTTGGGCATAAATTAAATTCTAGACACATTCAATTGAGTGAATGCTTTGCTTTGGACTCCATATTAAGACTCATATTTATACTGCTCTCGAGATATTTTCCACCTACTGATTTCCAAGATTTGGATGATGACAGCACAATAAAAGTTATGACAACACTTAGTGTTTCTTTGTAGTTTACTCTTTTGAACAATAGAAACATTGTTTTAGCAGGGGAATTTTCACCATTTTCTCTTGAAGACAACTCTTGCTAAACAGAGGCAGTAGGAAAAGTTTCCATCTCTGTGAAAACAAAAAGCAAAAGCAGTACATATTTTTGCTGATTTCCAAGAAGAGTTAAACTTGCAGGGAAATAAGATTAGATAATTTTTGAATACTGTGGCCCTTGATGCTAATGTCAGAAAAGCAAGTCAGAACTAAACCATTAATGGCCAGCAGCGGAGTGACTCACCATTTAGTATTTAAAACAGCTACAGGAACAGAGCTGCTCTAGAAAAGGAGTGCCACACAAGCAGGGAGCAGAGAGGAGGACACTCCTATCTAACTGGGAATCATCTGTCTGGGTTAATCAAAATTACAACTAGAGGAATAAATAAATTCTGCATTTATCAGGAAAATCATCTTGCATCTGTAGTTCTTTTCTGAGAAATGAGCATGGATAACAGAAAGGCTGATGTGCTCACTAAGGGCTCTGTGCATCAGCCTCCAAATAGCTGCCCCATTATTTACCCTCAGCCTCCAAATAGCTGCCCTATTATTTACCCTGTCCCTTAATGCATTCGATCACAGGGTAGGTAGATAACACATGGAAAGTGCAGAAACTAAAGTACTGGAAAGAATTCTAAAGGAAAACAGAAAAAAAAAACCACCTATAGCTAGGAA